CCCGGAGGCCCACCCACGGAAGCAGCACCAGCGCTCGAAGGGTGACGCAGCATGGTGGCAGCGAGTGCGCGAGCCGCGGTGCTGGCGCAGGGTTGCTGCTGCGTGTCCCTGGAAAGCTGCTTTGTCCCCAAGCCTGGTCCGTGCGCAGGCACCTGGCCGTGGCCGCCGCTGCCGCAGCGCTGCCGTTTTGCAGAGCTGCCAAAGGTGGTTTCCAAATGCGGAAACCACTGCCTTCCGAAACAGGGGGATGCTCTGGTGGGCCTTAGCTCAGCAACTATAATGGATTTATCTCCAGGCTAAAAATTAGTGGTTGCTCAATTACGGGTGGTCACAACTCAGTTGTCTTTGTCGTGTGCAACCAGAGTAAAGCCCACAGAGGTGCAGATGTCTTTGGTGCGTTCGCAGGACGAAGCTCACCAAGCTGAAAGGTGCTGTGAGGCAAAGTACCTAGGGGAAAGAATTTAAGTGGAAAAATGGGAATGACCATCAGAAAGGGATGAATGCTTTGTTAGGCACAAAAAAACACCCAAACCCCATAACTGAGGGAGAAGGTTAAGACTGCTGGCAAAAATGCCCTAATATCATGGTTTTAACATCAAGGTTTCCCCTCATCAGGGATCGGGAGGTTAGGCTTAAACCAAAAGGCATGGGAGAGGTTGATACAGCAGTTATACCTTTCCCAGGTGACAGGGGCCTTGGCCCTTCAAGAGGAGAAGTGGGGGGGGTCCCTCAGCCCTGCATTTCACCAGCTTCCTAAGGAAGCCGCCAGAGATAGGTGCTGGGGTCACCTGTGATTTACAAAAAAAGAAAAAGAAATTCCAAAGTTAGCAGCTATGTTAAAATACAGTTAAAGTTGCTGAGCACCTCTTGGACCTACTGGAAGAAGCTGATACCCAACGCGGGTGTCCCCCACCGGTCCAACACCAGCTGTCTACCACATGCAAAGAAGTGGCCGCAGGGTAACAGCAGCGCTCCCTTGTGAGACGCAGCGCTGCGGTCGCGCACGAGCCTGCCGCCCTTGGTCCGGAGCTGGCTAGCAGCTATGAGCACAAAACCTTCCCTTTGCTCTTGCAAAATTAGTAAAAAGTGTGGCTTTCTTAAAGGCGTGCACCGTGCCCCCAGATACTCCAGCAATTTGCAGCTTTTATCAGGTTTTTTTTTTTTTTTAAAGGCACCCATCACGGAGTATAAATCTATCCAAAAAAGCATAGCTTTCTACTGAGCAAAATAATTCTTTGGACCCCCTGATTAGACAAATAGTCTCAGAATAGAAACAAGACTACTTTATAACCATAGACTAAACATAACTCAACAGCTAGATATTGAGCTGCAGACAGAAGAATTCCCCTGCCACGGTGAAACAGCTGACTTTCTCTGCAAGTCACTTAATCACACGCAGAAGATTATTTAGACTGTATCAGGGGCATGCTGAACTCTTATTTGGGTATCCGAGATCCCCGGAAGCTGGCTGGAGTCCTGCTGCGGGAACACCCATCCTTTGATAGCCTGCACAGCGGCGCTGCAGATTGATGTCGGTCTGGAGTTTGTTTGGGGACTTTTGCTTCCACTGGGTTTGATAAAGGGCTGGAGGGGTTGCTGAGATGTATTTGAGGGCTTGTGTGCGTCTGAATGCTGCTCAGTGATCCTGGGGCTCATCCTGGGCTCTGCAGCTGAAGAGCTGCATCATGTAGCTGCGGGGAGTCTCTGCAGCGCGACTGGTGGGCAGGAGGTTCAACACGGTCCTTTGTGGGATTTCGTCCTACCCAGAGGAGGGAGCCTCAAGCTGAGGCCGTGATGGCAAGTGCTACAGAGCTCCGTGGCCAGCATTAGCAATGTCACTATTACAAAAATCCAGGAGAGCAAAGAAGGAGAAAA